CTGTTCCGAAACGTTGAGTGGCAATAGTTCTTAGAAAAATGTATAACTTTTATTGAGACACTTTTCTTATCTTCAATTTAAATTAAGATTTATGAAAACAATTTAGAGTTTAGATACACATGTGCATGTTATTCTTGTCTTCCCTCTGAGTCCAAGTTCTACGTTTCATTATAATCTTTTCACCTCTGACACCATCCCTTTAAACTAACGAAAACGTTTTTGTCACATTGGCATTCGTCCAATTAACTTGAAACGATAAGAAAATAATTGCTCAAACAACCGGAAATTCTTGCCTCAAACCTTGAATTTTAACAGGGGTAAAATATAAGTCGCACGAAATATATGAGGGTTTATTTTCAAATACAGTTGCCACAGCATAATGCCAGACGATTCTAAGGTTTAAAAAATGAGTACAACAAATCATGCTAACAGACGATAACCTATGCTAATCTACGAGACTTTTGGTCGGGTCTTTCTGGGTGATAGGAACTCTGGTAACCTTATCATCTAGCCAGCCATGAATGTCGGCTGTTAAAATTCAGACCAAAAGCGAGATAAGTGTTTTTTCTTTAAATGTGAATCTCAGCTTCAGAAATATTTCGATCGTAGAAGCTGTATGATGTCCCGTAGAAAGATATTCTGCTGCTCACATCAGTTCCCCATTAAGTAATCAAATTCCGCTGTTCCTTCTGTCATTGCCTATGTCGGGCAGAAAGCAACTCCAATGTTTACGTAATAAAACGGTAGGTTTATCTGATGGTTTAACAGTAAAAGTATTTATAGACACAATAGAACGAACCATAAAACTAATTCGAATTGTATTTTAGTTTGGTTCCCTGAAGAGTAAAAATATCACTACGATGATCAAATAGAGGTGAGATGGGCGGGACAAGTAGCGAGAATAGGAGAGATAACAAATGGTACATTTTAGTCGGAAAGCCTGAAAGGAAGAAAACATTTGGAATACCTAGACATTGGTGGAAGGATGATAATACAATGGATGTTAAATAAATAGGGTGTGAGAATGTGGGCAGGATTCAACTGGCTCTGGATAGGGTCCACTGGCGGGCTCTTGTAAAGACGGCAATGAACCTTCTGAGTTCCAAAGAGGCGGAGATGTCTTTGATAAGTGAGTGTTTATTTGTTTCTCAGGAAGGATTCCACTCCGTGGAGTTACTTAGTTATGTATGAGCATGCATTTTAAAGTATGGACCGATTAGTTCTATTGAGGGTCTAGTCTGACACTTGCTCTCTTTTGATTTGTGGAAACTTGCATTGAATGTCCTCATTTTAATAGACTCAGTTGTCTGACAGACCACTAATTACCTAAAGATTCAATGGAAACGATACACTGGTTATAAACTTTGAAGTGGAGACTAAGTAGGAAATGATGACGTATATAAAGTGATGAACTATTTCATTATTGTTATCCTTTAATACATTGAATCCCTCTTGTTGCAGAGCCAGTAAAATCGCTAAGTAGTAATTTCAAAATATATAAGTAGGAAATAGGAGTTCATAATACTGTCATGCTACCGGTACAGCTATTTAGAATTTCATATAAGCCACGCACTTGCGTTCTTACACTCCCATTAGCCATACATTTATTTATATTTGTACTGGTATCTTATATTTATTACAAACTGCCAGGGCGAGAGGGTTAGTAGCAGTATCAAAAGCCCGCTATTCAACTTTCATCTGGACCTTTATAATCCAATCCATCATTATTACAAATGTTTCTAACGTGTGTGAAAGCATCATTTACAGCGGACATTTTTCTCAGAAACAGCTCATTCTAATTTTTAGAAATGTCTATGTGTCTATTGGGCCCTCCCTTATGCCTTGTACATTCCCATCTTAACTTAATTCAGTCAACGATAACAATAATAATAATAATAATATTAATAATAAATATCGTTCGTCTATACAGCTTATTTATTTCAGCGTGTTATATACCGCTTTTCCCCTACATGTTTCGGTCGTCGTAGACGATCTTTAAGTGGTATACAAAAGCTATTACAATGCAGGATGCCTTCAATAAAGACAGTCAAAGATAGGCTAACATTCACCAGAGTTAATTAAGTTTGCACCGACAGCGTCGTATAATAAACAAAAACAATAAACATTATTTGGGGACAGATACACGAATAACACGATAATACGAGAATGGCTGTAATGATAGCCCTGATAATGGAGCCAGCAGGCACGTCTGAAACATCGGTAAACTTCTGCCAGACTACACGGCTCTACAACCCAGAAGACAGCGATCTTCTTAGTCGAAGCCGTGAGAACCTTAAATCCTACTTCGTCTTTCATACAGAATAAGGAGAGTTCTAAAATGGCCTTTCATACCTCATTCAGAAAGGCACAGTTCAATATGAAGATAACGGCAGACTGTGACACATAAAGAGACCTAGACAGATAACAAGAGACAGGCCGACGTGTCTGGTGGAAAGTCATGTCATGATGGAGACGTAGACCTACCTCGTCAGTATCCGGGGTCCTGTCATCTTAATTAACACGTCCACATTTGTCTAGTTAATATACAAGCTGCAATGCTACGTTAATAAATATTTCAGTAGGTGTATTTAAACATACATTAAGCATATTTAAACTTATTGTTTTTGTTGTCTTATGTTTTGTTGTGTCTTATTGTAGGACCACTGCCACCGGGTAAAAACCCATTTGCAGTCAAATAAATAATAATAATAATAATATAATACTGACGACTTGAGAATGTCAATGGAACAGGTGAACTGTTTCAAGCATCAAACTCTTCGGCAAAGAAACCCGAACTATTGTGTTTTAAACAATTTAATTTAGTCATTGGTCGGTTGAAGGTAATTAAGTATTATCTACCATCTAAATAAATTTTAAAAATTCTGTTTGTACCTACAAGAAATCATCCAGTTACAGATATTAAGTAGAATAATCGCTGTTTATACTGAGAACAGAACATAACCCATCTTTTGACGAAATGCCCTGTTATTCGACATTAAAACAGGCTGTGAATGTCCTTTAAAGCGCTAAGTTCAAGAAGTAACGAAAGAGTAGAAACACAGGATGAAAACTATGAAATTTACTGTAGATTTCATAATTTACAAGTGCGGAATGTCATTATCGAAGCTATTCTTTATTTCTTATACCATGTCCACAACTGGACGCCTGGTACAGACAGCAAGAGACGTGTAGCAATAGAAAATAACTTTCGAATGCCCCCGCATCTCACAGAGCTAACAACAACGCGAGTTGGAACGCGAACAGCGACGAACATAGCCTCTCTCTTAGAAGGGCGGGGGGAAAAGTATATCTGTCCAAAATAAATCAGGCGACAATTTGGACTACACCCAAATGACTCTTTCTAAGTTTGCTTTTATTTTCTTTAACTTGTACAAGAAAGCCACGTGACACATTTCACACATCGTCGATCCATACGTGTGACGTCCATTCGAGACGTCATCAACTGTCGAGGACATTAAAATTGCAACATTAAAAAAAAAAGATGAAATAAACACGCTTTAAACCTCCTGCGGTTAGGCATAATAACACAATTTCAGATTACTAATAAACAAATAGGAAATAAATTATGGGCTGTTATCTTGTCCTTATCCAAACGATTCTGTTATGCAATTAGGGAATTGAATATTTTCAAATAGACATTGCAACTCATTATTTAAAACATAGGTATATTAGAAGACTCTTATATAAATACTAGTTCTTAAGTACTTAGGCCTATATCACGTTGGCTCCCAAGCGATTGTTTCTGGCGGTGGCTGTCTTGGTACTGAAATGTATACTCATGTGAGCCACCAGTAATCTTCATGGGAGCCACCGTGTTAATTTCGGTACATAACTTTTAAAATAGACTTACGAAATGATTGATTCTTACTGTGTGAACAGGTCCGCACAGGAAACTAAAACGTTTGCGAGGCCCGGGCATGATCCTCCTGAAGCAAATCAAAAATAAAATAAAAAATGCATGTAAATGTTTTGGATCCTTTTGGTGTGTCTTTACGTGTTCTATCGTTATATTTTATAAATTGTAAATCACTTTACTATGGGTTTATTTTTGCATGATACAAATTCTGAACGAAAAGTTATTTTGCATTTATTGACTTATATGTGCATTCATAAATGGTATGATATGTAATGCCAGGCTATTGTAAACTACAAAATAAATAAAATTTACACACAATTAGAAGTATCTAATTTCAAACCACATTCGGATTCGATTGATTGAAAAGGAAGCAGCTGTAACAGCCCTTCTACGTCATTTCCAAGACTACGTATTCAACTTCCCCACTACATAGTTATAATGAAACTGCAAAGTCGAAACTATATCGGAAGGATTCGATGTGTTCTTCGACTGTCTTCCGAATGAAAACATTCGATTACATAGCGAATAAAATCGATTGTCTTCTAATTATTCACATTATTCGTAAGTTCCAAACAACCAAGTCATTTGCGTTTTAATTCGATGGGAACCATCACTAATTGCGGCTACTTTTTATTTATCCCCATTCCCACATACCTTTCAAGCGCGCCAAAAGTTCAAAGTTTTGCCGCCATAATGTACTTGAACAAAACTAATTTCAACATCGTGAAATTGTAACTCCTACTTGCGTCTTTCTTACTAGTGAAAACAAATTACTATTAAATCATGGAAAAACATTTAATAATTTGCAAAGTTCTTCCTGCTATAGGATACTTCTTACAGCAGGCGCTACTTGTCAGCTAATTGCGTGGACCTCAATAACCAAAACCGTAAACTAGAAAATACAATGCAAAGGCAACATTTGGTAGGTTTAGCTTATTCAGATAGACCATTTGAACATATCGAACACTTACAGCAGCAGAGACATTTTCAGTAGGGTTATTTTGGTTAACAGCCTAGTCATCCCACACGAATTCCACACGCAGCCACCAACAAGCTAATCATTGGACAATTTCTCCGTTAGATGGTGACACCTGTCGACACTGTGTTGTCATTTAATATCAAAAGATGTCGGCGTAATTGCCAAAGAAAAAACAATGGAGTGACAGAACCCGTAAAATCAGCTGTATCAAAATGATTTAGTTTGGAAATTGAATATATTTTTAATAATGACAATCGTAAAAGGACAAAAGCATCGTACAATTCTACTCTGTATTCGATAATTATGCCAAAGAAGGAACTAAGGTTATACATCATGTGTATTTACAAGTATCGTATTTCAGTGAGATGGTTCCATATCTTTTCTAACCTCTGCACGTATTGGTGTTTGCAAATATGTTAAAGTGTGTTATGCTTCCTTTCTTCATTATTTATATTGAAATTAAACCTTTAGTGCAGTTCCTTTCCTTTTCGTTCCTTACCTTAACCGGAAATGTGCTCTTGAATAATGAACGCAAGGAAAAATTAAATGTTAGGTTTGACTCTACATAATTGATGTTGTTCGGTTTCTTGTTAAACCACTACGTAATACACTACGGTTTATTATACAAGTTATTACAGTAAACACAGTTCGAAGAGTAAGCAGAATTTAAACTTTCTTCTGTTTGCTATAGGATGCCTCAAATAGCTTATCCTTCACTTTGACTAATTTCTTCCAAGTATTGACCTAATAAAGACTTATGGCAGTGAGATGTCATATTTGCAACTTTGAGGAGTTGGTGTCCAAAGACTAGGTTTTGCTGCCCTTATTTCAATTGAACTGTCATTTTATTAATTCAACTTTAATTGCTGCAAGTGCTTTTAAATTGTGATTATTGAAGAAACATGAAACAAATAGCTATTTCTGCATTTACATTTTCAATTAAACCAATAATATAAAGAAATTTTACACACATATATTAGCAACATAATTCAAATTAATAAATGTTCTCTGAGAATTTACATTTTCTTAAATGTGTATCTTCTTCTTCTTCATTGTCCATGGTCAATCTTGACCGTCGTGACCCCATCAGGGGTTTCTTGCAAAAGTACCATGGTGGTTTCGCCTTGACTTCTGTGGCCAGTCTTTATCCACCAGATTGGAAGAGGAGTATGTAACTCAGTGAAAAATTCATAAATAGCACAGAAGACTGTTTTTTATCTGTGCCATGTTATAAATGATCATACACTGAAACTTTGGTGGATATCAGACTGACTGTTCCAAAGTGATGAGTGTACATCCACACATAATTAAACATATATTCTGTGTTAAATATAAAGTAGAGACTGAAATTCACAGTGTTTATGCAGTTCCATGCTGATGATATGGGTATTGCTGTCTGCCTTCAGTTGAGTTTAGTTATTCTGCCATGCTGCCCTTTTCCAATTATCTCATTTGGTTGTGTGTTAGATAGTTTCACTCATTCAGTTATCTGTGTAATATTTAATCCCCATATATGTAAATATTTGTTTCTTATCTGTGAATGTTAATGTATATGTAAGACATTAATTTTTTTTACTTTTTTGTTTCCAGTGGAATGTATTTAAACATTAATTCTGTGTTACAGCATGCACAATATCTGATACACATGTTTCATCCATGAAAGTGAAGGACTTAATACATGGTTATATATGTAAGGTACTGAGTAAAGATTGTTACAGTGGCAAAAGCCGCGTATGGGAGCGAGACCGACGAGAGAGACTCAAACTTTCCTTCAACAATCTGAGCAGTCTGCTGCCTAAATATGACCCTGCTTCAACACTCAGCAAAGCTGAAATCCTGCAGAAAGCAACTAATTATATCCGTGAGTTGCAGCAAGAAAACGATAACTTGCTGCATGGCAGCTTGGATGAGTTTGCTTGTAAGTACATGTTGTCAGGACACAGCTAACTAACCAACCAGCTCCATTACAAATGGTCTTTTGTGTGCAGTTGATACTTACTTAGGTGGCCAAGAAATTTATGCTGTGGAACCTGAAGTTTCTTCACAGTATTCACAAAAGACCAACATATAAATAATGACCAAATAATAAATTCTGCGTGATAATACTCTCACTTCATTTGATGCTGTGTAATCTATGGAATTAAATAGTGTCATTAATTAATTTAAGATAGACTCAATCTGTTCCCAGGTTTATCAAGTGATCTTCAGAAGTTTAGCAGTCAAAGTTTTAAATGCATTTCTCATATTCCAATTTTCCCATATTGCATGTTTTTAAGTAATGGCTCTGAGAAAGTTGAAAAGTCAGCAGATTCAAATGTTTACTTGGTTACTGACTCTACTGCTTCAGGATTTTCATCTCATTTAGTGAGCAATGATAACTTAAAAAAGGCAGTATGTTATTATTAAATGATCCACATGAAATGGGAACATCTTTCTTCTTGGAAGAAGAATATTGTTATTATCACAGAAAAAATTACAGATTTCTTCCAAATGAATAAACCAAGAGCTGTTTTCAATACCGTGTTACAGAAGAAGTGTAACTATGTTACAGTCAAGTCTGAGACAGCAACAAAAAATTTGTCTTCATACTGGTGGTACCATTGGAAGTAAAATCCTGTAAGACCTATAGTCTTTTCTTAATGTCAGATAAGACACAGAACTGCACACAAATTATCACACTTGTTTTACATCCTACACTGAATGTAGGAAAGCATTAGGTTCATAATAATGTTAATGATTGAAGTTGAATTATGATGTATTTTGTTACCAGCAAAAGAAGTACAACAACTGAAGCAACAAATAGAAGAGTTGGTGAAACGAGTACAGCAGTTGGTAAAACTTCTGCAGGATGCTGGAATCTCCATTCCACCTTATTTGGCAGTAGATTCATCTCGTCCCCTGAGATGGTCCAACAAGTTCAACCAGGAGGATGGCCCTATACTATTGGAGAAGGCAAAGAGGAGTAAGTTATATTTATTTATATACTCATGTTATAGATTAGCTGATTTACCACCATGATGATAAAGCATCCATCAAAATTCAAGGCCCTTTTTGACATTTTGTAAATTACTAATAATATTGTTTTGATAAGGGGTCGCTTCCTTCAAAATAATAAAATCATAGTTTTTGTTTTATATTAATTAACATCACAGAACATGAAATGGTAGGAGTTTAAAGAAATGTTATCAAATTTCTTGGTACAAGATTCAATAGCCCTTAATAAGACTTTCCTGTGCAAAAATATAAAAGTATTTTGTAGGAAGTAGAAAAACATTACAATTATTTATAATCAGTGTTATCTTTGTTATAAATATGGATAAGAAGACAATGTTACAAACAGTTATGATAGAATAAATAATTTTTAAATTTTCTACAAGGAAAGTAAAAGTTATATAAAGTACTCATCATTTAAAACTGTCCATCTTTGAAGACCACCTGTGATAAACAGGTATTTTTTGTTGTGATTCTCATTACTGAGAAATTGCTTTCTGGTCTTGCTTAATTTGCAAAGAAATTCGTTAAGGAAGACCATACTTTGTAAAGTATTAGCTTTTCTTGTTAGGTGGTTCTGTACAAATTTGTGAGAAGTATTAATGT